ATAGAGGGTGAGAGAGATCCCTGCCCATCTTGCACTCTTACCACAAGAGCAAATAAGGAAAGCAACACTTGTCTTCGAGAATCACAAGCATCATCCATAGGGATCCAGGAGAGTAGCTGGGCAGCGTTTCCCAACACTGAGGGCACCCTCACACTAGGACTTTTTTCTACTAGCTCTGGACATGATTGCGGTCACAGTCATCCAAGGCCGGCCGTTTTTGCAGCCAGATACATAATAGAACGTGCTTGTGTGAGTATGCCCTGAGCTATTGCGATGATGTCCAAATACTGAGATCGTAACCACAACAGAGACAATCTTCTGGGACTGAAAAGTGCAGCTCCCTGTTCTGCGGCGCTCTTCACCCCTTTGAGCCGCCAGTACGCGGCCCCAGCCTTGCAGAAAATGAACTCGTCCCCACCACCGCGACTCTCGAGGCCAGGCCACCATTGATAAATTTCATTTATGGCATTTGTCGCATTTCCGGCCTCTAAAGTAGCGGTGAGGGGCCCGCCGCCGATGTATGGCCGTGTACCGGTGCTTTTAAGGTTTACCCCTTCCCTGTTTCACATGATTGAGCCTGTTTCGTTTGAAATCCAGCTCGCTTGGTGAAAATGGTAAACAGCAAGCTCACTTAGCACGCTCGCTTCATGAAAATGGTAAAAAGGACACACTTTCCGTAACACAGACGGCTGAAGGGCATGATACAAAGATTGCATGTTTGGGAGTTTGGCCAGAGCTTACTGGGACTGTCCTTGATCTGCCTGATATCCTTCGCAGCAGCCCTATGGCTACTACGCTATTTCACGATTGCACTGGCCTGATCCGGTCATCATTATCATCAACATCACCAGCAGCAGCAGGCAGCATCACCACCATTCTCATTACTATAACTACCCTTCCACCATCGTGATCTTTATACGTTCACTTTCATCCACGGTTACAACAGACAGTCCAGCCTTTACAGATAACAAACAGTCCGCTGTTTGAAATCTCGACCAATCCAGACAAGGGGTGCACGCTTACCCCCCTCCCTTCCCCCCCCTTCCCCACCCTCCACCCCGCCCCTCGCTTACAAAGTTGTGCATTTTGCAAAGCTGCAAAACATATGTTTTCGCAAGATTGACTAGCCCGGCCAGGCTGGAGTTGGGAGAGAGGGCAACAGCCGGCTGGTTTTAAAAAGTCCATCCATCAGAGATACTGGTGCTTGGAGAGGGAAAACAACGGGAGCAAATCCTCAGAAATACTGTACGCCATGGGGTTTTCCCAACTTTTCCCACTGCTATGACCAACATTTCATGGCATGCTGAATGCCATAGGAGCAAAACTGTATTTCCTCAGAAGAATTGTGTGCGATGTGGGCAATCCTCAGAAATACTGTATCCAATATTTGTAGGGCTGGGATCATTCAGCATGACAGGAAGTTTACGAAACAGAGGCGCTTTCAAGGATTGGCAGTGTCCGAAAACAGCAACAAGCAGCCGAAGAAAGGATGCACAGGAAGGACAGCTCCAGGGCAGGGCAAAGAAAGTCGACGAGGTGAGCACACCCTTACAATCTCTCCAGACCCGTCAAGTTCCCGATCGCTTGGGGTATGCTTCCCTGGTACCCCTTCCCGCTCAAATCCCTGTTACGACGCAGAGCCAAGGAACCACAAGGCAAAAGGAACAACTCAGCACCACCTCAAGTCAATGAACATGGTCCACACCCCCTCAAGTCCACAAGCATAGCCAATTATAACAATCAGCCACACAACCTCTTCAGGCAAGAGAGAGCGCAACTACTTCGAAATCCCAAACAAAAACACCAGCTTAGTGGCATTTGGCTACCAACCATACTCAACTACTACAAACTTCAGCTTTCAGCCACATGCAGAGCACACAACACCTCCCAAATCCACACATGCAGCGCAACTAAGTACACAGACATTGCAACTAGGAGCAGGCGGCACTGGTGTTATGTTCATGCTTGGAAAGTACGAACCTGGCTGTAATAGCAGTCAGGTTCGTGCTTTCACAGATGGAAGGAAGCGTGAGTGTGTATTATAATGAATTCAAATTTGACTTGCCGGGGGAATAGGAACTGGACTAACGCTCCCCAGAATGGATATGGAGCCAGGGACATAAGGACCTGTTTTAAAAAAAAATACATGCGGCGCAACTCAGCACAACGACATTGTAAACAGAGTAAGGAGCAGGCTCCACGAGCAGGCCCCACTCATGCTATGTTCGTGCTTGGAAAGTATGCGAACCTGGCTGTAATATACGAGCCTGGCTGTAATAGCGGTCAGGTTCGTGCTTCGTGCTTTCATATACCATGAATATGAAGATACATGCAGCGCAACTCAGCACAGAAACATTGTAACAGAGTAAGGAGCAGGCTCCACGACCAGGCCCCACTCGTGCTATGTTCATGCTTGGAAAGTATGAACCTGGCCGCAATAGCGGTCAGGTTCGTGCTTTCATACCATGACCATAGCACCGATGGGCCCTCACCCTAAGATTGAAAAAGACAAGAATGCTCAAAATCTCATGAGAATGGGACCGCACTTTCTCGAAACTTCTCTCTACTGCAAACCACCCCAGCATTTTTTTTTCTATGTTTCAAATTTGCCCCACAAATCACAACCCTGCCGACTTCCCCCCGAACACGATGCACGAACACGATGCGATCTGATAATGAATGTATACAAGCTATCTTTCCAGTTCTGTACAGCCAAAATGAGGGTGTGTTGTGTTCGGGGGACGACAGTAGCTACTGCTTCTTACCACTCCGATACCGGACTCCGGACCTGACGGTTCCCCATTTCCCTTTTTTTTCCTTTTTTGTTGGACCATTTCTCGATTTGTGTGTGTCATCCTTGAAGGCGCAGGGGCCATATTGCAAATTACCCCTTTGTGTATCGTTCCAATTTTAACGGCCGTCATTCCGTTACCGCCAACATGCAATTCGGCAAAGCAAGTCAGACTCCTCAGAGCAAGAAAAAGGTGCAAGGCCAGAACAACAGCCGAGGTGCCAGAGCAGATATTAATAGAATAGAATTGGCAGGTTAAGGTACAGTTTTTTTTTTGTGGAATAGAATTTTTTTCTTTTTTATTTTATTTCTTTCCTTTTTTTTCCCTTTGTTTATGAAATAGAAAATTTTCTGATGGCAAATGATAGGAAAAGTAAGGAAGGATGAGCTGGACGATGCAGAACACATATGTATATATCGTATATATATTGTCACGCTGTGAATCAGAGCGCGAAGGCGAAAAAAAGCAAAACAAGGAAAGGAAAGAAGTAAGGAAATATTGTCACAAAGTTGTCAGAGCGCAAAAGCGAAAGGAAAACAAAAAGAAAACAAAGAAAAATAATTTCATTTTTTTTAAATCTTCTCCCCCTGTTCAAAACCTCTTGCGTACAAGGCCGCCCACGTGGATGTAGGTTGAGCGGCGGCTGCCCCCACCCCCATGTGTCATGACCCACTTGCACACAGCCAAAAGGCGAAGAGGCAATGAAAAGAGGAAGGGAACAGCCAAACATTTCAAACAGGGGGCAAACAAATACTAGATGACAAGTCCCACATGCGAACACCGCCCCCACGTCACAGGTCAAACTACGGGACAAACCAGCCAGGATTTAAAACACGAAAAAGCCTTCGATACCATCAACAGATATGCACAAAAAACAATCCCAGTTGACGATTCCCACATATAAGCACCACCCCCGCACAATAGGCCGATCAACGGGAAGCAACCAACCACGATGCCAAAAAACACCACATCTGCAAAAAAAGATTTGAATCTATTGCAGCTACCGCAAGAAACATAAAAGACAATCCCATATGACGATTCCCACATAGAAGCACCGCCCCCAAACCTAGGCCGAAAAACGGGAATCAACCAACCAGGATGCCAAAAAAAGAAGAACCCGGATGACCAGCCCCACATGAAAGCACCGCTACTCATTCCAAACAGACCGCGCAACGGGACAAAACCAACCAGGACGCAGACAAGGTTACCAAAACAAATAGTAAGAAAACGGAACCATACAGTAGGTCCACAAAACAAAATACCCCAACCATGGGGAGGAGTAAAACAGAAAAACAGAAAAAAGATTTAAAAGAGAGAAAAAAGAGAGAAAGGAGAGAAAAGAGAGAATCGATATTATTTTCTTCCATACCCAAATATATATCGTCAAACAGAGCTGGCCGGTAAACCGTAGGCAGAGAGGGAGGGAAAAGAGGACAACAAACGAGGGGCTGTGACAGACTGTGAACTGCCCAGTAAACCGTCGGCAGAGAGGGAGAAGGGGACAACAAACGAGGGACTGTGACAAACTGTTTCGTCGGAGTTTCACCGACTCATCAGGAGGCTGAACCCTCAACAGGCTGTGACAAACTGTTTCGTCAGAGTTTCACCACCTCATCAGGAGGCTGAATCCTCGACAGTCTGCAGAATCCCCTAACTAATTGCACTAAGTGATAATCCACCTTAACCCCAGTTGTGGTTGAGCACCACAGACTGCCCGATATATATATTGTCACACTGTGAATCAGAGCGCGAAGGCGAAAAAAAGAAAAACAAGGAAAGGAAAAGGAGGAAGGAAGGAAAGCCCCACCTGTTCATCACCTCTTACGTACAAGGCCAGCCACGTGGATGACAGGTTGAGCGCTGGCTGCCCCCATCCCCGTGTCTCACAAGGACCCACTTGCACGCAGCCAAAAGACAAAGAGGTAAAGAAAAGGAGGAGGAAACCAGACCTCACAGATACAAGAGAAAGAGAAAGGGATCCAATCAAAAAAAAGACAAGGGAAGAAAGCAAATGACATATCCCACAGATAAACCAATTGCCACTGTCCAATCAAAGAAAAGACAAGGGATCCAATTGCCACTGTCACCACAAGGGAAGAAAGCAATGACATATCCTATTATCCCACAGATAAACCAATTGCCACCGTTCAACATATTCTTTTATTTTATTCTTTCTTTTTTCTTATTTTCTTTTTCTTTTCTTCAGAAATTTGTACTTTTTTTCTTTCTTTTTTTTTTTTCTTTTTGTTTCAATTTTTTTCTTTCTTCTTTCTTCAACTCCACATCTGTTGCTCCTGATCGCTTGATTCTATTGATCAGTCAGGAAGAGGAGCCCCCACCCCGGCAGATAGGACAGGCACGGTGAGCATGACGTGGATGTTCACGAGGATACCCAAGGAGAGCTACTTCAGCACAGCATTCAGCAGGACGGCTAGCACGGACCATCCCATCAAAACAGTCCTGACAAAGGACATGCTGCCCACATGTCAAAAAAACAGCAGGACGTTCATCACAGTGCGGCATCATGCAGTCCTGATAGCGTCCTTGCGCACGAAAGGGACAACGAATGTCTGGGTGATAGGGATGTGTACAATGAGGAAATGTTGGACACCCTTCGGCACAGATGGTGGTGGCTGCAATAGATTGGTAATGTTGATGGCATATATTGTCACATGATATCAGAGCACCAAAGCGAAAAAAACAAGGAAAACAAAAAAACCTTAAATTCGTTTTTAATCTTCTTCCTTACAACTCCCCCTGTTCAGAACCTCTTGCGTACAAGGCCGCCCACAATGGCATATATATATATAGTCAAACAGAGCTGCCCGGTAAACCGTAGGCAGAGAGGGAGAAGAGGACAACAAACGAGGGGCTGTGACAAACTGTTTATATGGTGCTAAGGGCAGAGGAGAAAGGGGGTCGAAAACTGAGCCTGGTAAACATCCCCATATTAGGAAAGCTGATACAGGTCCTTCGGGACATCCGTTAAAATTGGAATGATACAGAGACAATAAGATGGCCCCTGCGCAAGGATGACACGCATGGTCCAAAAAACAAATTAAAAAGTAAAAATAAAATAAAATAAAAAAAAAACGGAAAGCTGATACAGAGTGAGGAAAGCCTGGTGCAATGACAGAAAAGGGAAGGAAGTGGGGAAGCATAGCAGAGGGAGAAGCCTGGTGAGGAGTTTTGAGATGGGAGGAGCAGCACAAATCACTGGACTATCGCATCCAACAGAGTTCATGGTAAACCACCAGTTCACACAAGCCTCTAAGTCGACAAAGCTACAGTCCTACCCCGAACATAACACATGCGTTGTATTCTAGCTTTCGAAAAAAAAAATGAAAATTCGAATAGAAGAACACATATGCATTGTATTTCGAAAATCAGGGCTGTTCGAATAGAATGCATACGTGTTGTATTCGAATAGAAAGTAGCATATGCGTCGTATTCGTTTACAACGCACATGCATTATGTTCGGGGGGAGGACGGTAGCTTCCAAGGTTCGCGAGCCGTCAACTGTGCCACTTCAAAGTGGCCTGCCCCATTCACTACCCGGCCAGGCCCGAATCAAAAAGCTCTTACCACGCATACTACCGGTACGAGCCCCCTACTTAGGTTCGCGTCAACTGGTGGCTTAAACCCCACCAGTACATGGCCCTCAGGCAACTGGAGAACCCGTTTTGAGCATCTCCGAAAATTTAGGAGGCCGAGCGCCGTAGATGAAATAAATGAGTCAGCGGTGGGCAGCCTTTGAAAGGGGCCCGCGGCCGATAACTGGCATGTACTGGTGGCTTAAACCCCACCAATCCACCCGGGCCTGCAGGTGCCTTACTGCGCGCCAGGCTTTTCCCAACCGCCAGCAGTGCACTTTTTACTTTTTTGGCTGGTGCCGCCAGCCATCGTGGTCCGGTAGGTCGAGCCTCTGAAATATCCGTAGGCGACGAGTTTCTTGTTCAGCAAGGCTGGGGCCGTGTACCGGTGGTAAGGAGAATGAATGAATGTGAGAAGCGACAATAAAGACGGGGAAAACTTAAGGAAAATCAGAGAGACAGGAACAATGATGGAGGTCTGGGAAGTGTGGACAAGGATTAAACCGCTAGTACACCTGTCTCTTATACACATCTAGATGTGTATAAGAGACAGGGCTGGGGCCGTGTACCGGTGGTAAGGAGAATGAATGAATGTGAGAAGCGACAATAAAGACGGGGAAAACTTAAGGAAAATCAGAGAGACAGGAACAATGATGGAGGTCTGGGAAGTGTGGACAAGGATTAAACCGCTAGTACACCTGTCTCTTATACACATCTAGATGTGTATAAGAGACAGGGCTGGGGCCGTGTACCGGTGGTAAGGAGAATGAATGAATGTGAGAAGCGACAATAAAGACGGGGAAAACTTAAGGAAAATCAGAGAGACAGGAACAATGATGGAGGTCTGGGAAGTGTGGACAAGGATTAAACCGCTAGTACACCGCCCCAGCCTTGCAGTCCCAAACTTCTCTATAAAAAGGGTTGGGAGGTGTCGGGGATAGGGCCCAGGGAGGAAGTCCGGCAGGAGGCTTCACGGACTGCTTTCAGCCTACCTGTCGGCACAGCGGACCCACTCACACACAGGAATCACTCAAGACAGGACACACAACCTCACCACACGCACACCGGAGAATATCACCCTGGACCAGAGCTACCAGGATACCGGCGGCAGGGCGCGGCCCCCTCGCACTTGAGGTCCTGCACCCCCAAGGCCCCCAGTCCCAAACTTGTCACCACAAGGGAAAAAAAACGAGGCCGAAACGTCAAACACTGGGCCTGCCGCTGATAAATTGGATCGGCGATCGCTTTTTCGTTTCGCGCGCTTCTGGAATTCGAGGCGTCAGGCCTGGAGCCCAGGTAGCCGTGTACTGGTGCTTTAAACGACCAGCACCTTTCTCAGCTATCGATGCCGAGCCTGAAATCGCCCTGCGCGCCAAACAAAAACGAACCGGCACGGGCCTCATTTTGCTCATTTTGGCTGGAGCCACCAGGGGTTTCGGTCCTGTAGTCCCTCCCGATCCCCGGTTGCTCCCGAATATATCGGCGCGTATTTGATTTTCAAGCGGGGAAAGGTACTGGGGTTTCAAGGGGGGGGGGGGGGGGGGAGAGGAATCGGAAGCTCATCAGAACCTCAAAACGGCAGATTTAGAGAACAAAGAGATCAAAGTCGTACTTTATGGGGGGCATTCTGGGTAACGACCAAGTGCAGCATTTGTTCCGATCAGTTCAATATCCGATCCCATGGAGCACGAGAGGAGGGGGGGGGGAGAAGAAGTGGGGACCACACAAGAACAAATATGGTAAACCCAAGTGTGGCTTTCCGGAAAGGTCCAAAAAGGGGGTCTGCCCAGACATGTTGATACTCACAAAGAGACGATTCTACGACTGGTATTGTACTCTGTGCTGCAGGTGATGAAGGCTGGACGAGGGCTTAAGCAGGGATCTGTCTCTAATCCTAGCTCAAAATGCTGCGAGATGTCCTGCAGGGCGCTCACTGTGTCAAATCGTCCATGCAGCAACTCCACATATGAAGCCAAAACCAAACGGAGGCAGAAGCGTCATTCCGAGAAAAGAACGTGAGATGTTGAAAACAGTTTTTTTTTAGATGTGTAAAAGATAACCTACAAGAACACAAAGAAAAAAATGTATATACTATAATATACCATCATACCAATTGAGTCAATTGACAGACATGAAAACGAAGAGCGCATTTTTTTCAAAGTCAAGGATGTGAATTTCAATTTCATTTCACAAACATGGGTATAATACCCAATTGACAGACATGAAAACGGAAGTGACACAGACAGGGTGAAAAAAATCATTTCACAAGAAAACAGCAACAAAAGCCAGGAGAGATAGAGAAAGGGGGATCAACACAGGAGGAAGTAACTGCTACCGACTTCACACCACACCACCGAATAGAACGCCCCCGGTCATTATGGGCTGTATCTAGACTGAAAGTTGCCCCAAATACAGCCAGCTATAATGACCGGGCGTTATGTACGGGTGAAGAAGGTAGACGCAAAAGGCACAACAAAAGATGCAAACTACCCGTCCCCCTCTCTCAGCGGAGATAACCAGGGAGTGTGATGGGATCCAGAACTACATCTGGGCAATGACCCGCACAGAATCCGTGACTGAGATTTATGCCTTTTTTTTTTCTTTTTTTTTTTGTCGTTAACAAAGTCACTTTGTATTAAAGACGATTGGAATGTCCTTCAGGAAATCCGTTAAAATTGGAACATTGTATTCGGGGGAAGAAGGTGGAATGGCCACTGCACAAGGATGACTCGCATTAATCGAGAATTGGTCCAAATTAAAGGTGGGGGCGGCAGTGGGGGG